TTAAATGCATTTTCATACAAAGATATTTATAATGGGATCCAAGTAAAAAAAATATGGACATATAAAACAATAAAAGGAAGAGAAGTAGATAAAGTATCACTATCGAGTCCTCGTATTGAATTAGTAATCTAGTATAGTATAACACACTTAATCCATTTCTTTATAACTAGTAACATAGAGTAAGAAGTAACTCACATATAGAGAAAACCTACATATAGGCCCTAGGAAGTCTTTTTTTTTCTTTTTAATGAAACCTTCCTACTGCACAACACAAATAGATGTTAGACTAATTTGCCTTGGAATTACTTTCCATCCTCACCAAGCAAAGAATTACTCATATAGATAGCTAGCCATTGCCCACTAGGTAGTTTGGTACTTCGGAGATGCTGCCACAAATCCTATAGTATGGCAGTTAAATCCTTGTGGGAACTAAGTTCGTTCTAGCACATATGACCTCTGATGTAAGGACTTCCTCATGCATCCTGATATTCTTCTTAGCCAACCACGCTTAACAACATAGTTCCGCAACATCCAGTGGAGCTATTATATATCAAACACCTTCCTAGGGTACAACTGATGTAGGACTATTCTCTCTGGGATGTGATGAAAACCCACAAAAGAAAGCTCAAGCTCACTTTGATATTAAATGAGTTAAGTGTGTACATATTATTATCCCTCAAGACATTCTGGAAACTACTGAAATGGCTCAGAATCATTTCAAGCTATGATTGGACATTCCTGGGATCTAACACGGTTACACCCCTATACATATCTAACATCCCAATACATACATAAAACACTGGTCAAAGAAAGAAAGGCATATGAAACCAGCTGGAGAAGGCCTTCCCATCCATTTATTTATTTATTGTATGATTCATCCTCGCTCGTATCAATTTTTGTCAAGAGTAGAAAGTGGATGCCCCTTTCTACACATTATCATCCATTTTAGAATTGCAATGAGTTTCATTTACATATACAATTTGAAACTTCGTAATTTAATTTCCCATGTCTGAAAGAGTAATAAAAGAGAGATACTTTTGCAATACACAAACACTAATAATGCAGGGTTAAATGGTGGGACTGCCTTTCCACAATGAAGACTAAATGATTTGTTCTTTCATAGAATATATATTGGAACAATCGAAATAAATCCAACAATATACTGGGTTACCATCAGATGTGCATGAATACATTTGCAAAAAATTAAAAGCCATGTACCTGACAGTACCCAACAGAGGGATTGTGACGTGCATATGCCGTGAGAAGACGCCTTAGAGCGTTTCTCCCATCTTCATCTAGAGCAGGATGCCCTGGAAACGTTCTAGGCAAATCCTGTAAAACTAATATATAGGTCATACTGATCATTGTCTCATGATCCAAAAGTATAACAAAACTTTTGCTCTAAGACACTAGTGTCTAATAACCTTCTCTATCTGCACTTTCCATTTCTCAGCTTTCTTTGGAACGCTTCCAGTGCCATTTGAAAGGGAGCCATTAAGCTCATTGCCACCAGCATCATCTTTTGTATTTAAGAGACTGTGATAGTAACCATCCACCCTGCGTGTTTTCACACCGACAAAGGCTTGCCATAACTGTTGTCATGGTGGAACTGATTAGACCTTAAGGCACCATCAGCGCATAAATTAAAAAACATGTTCAATTATAGAAATGTGGTTCACCTCTCCCCTAAGAGCCTTTGGAACTCCCCCCTGAACCAGGCATTCCAGCTCTTCCTTCCATGGGAATTGCTCCTGAGTTGTACTCACTGCCAAATCATCACTAACACCTTCATCTGTGGCCCCCTCTTGGGTTGTATCCGATCTTTCCATATCATAAAACTCTTCATCGGAGTCTTCCTCCCTAGGTGATGACCCTTCTTCAATGGAAGAAAGGTTTCTCTTACTTCTACTTCTCCCAACATTAGGTTCCCTGCTGGCTGAAGTTTTCTTCTTTTTCACGCGGAAACTCATCATATGCTCGATAACACTAAGAGAAGGCCTAATCTCAGCCCATAATTCGACTTTATCCTCACTTTTCTCTTTCCCGTGAGACTCCACTGTCTCCTTTTGTGTAGAATCGACAGCATTGTCTGAGCTAATTTCTTCTGAAGCATCGCATTCACTATTTCCCCCTTCAGCAGAATCCTCCTTTTGACTGCTCGAAGATTCCTCTGGGGATTCAATATCAGTATCTTTTTCCACTGAATCGTTTGAAGGCAACTCGGGAGATCCAGCTCCACAACACCTTTCCAAGAAATCTTTCCATTTCTCTGATCTCTCTTCCTCCTCCACCTGCAATAAAAAAACAGCTGCCCAAATGTAAGCAAGATCACAACTTTACACTAATCCTTTCAAAAATGAAGGAAACGCGAGCATTTGCCTTGTAGATTTTAGCATATTCTCGATATCTCTGTATGTGTTGTGACCGCACTGCAAAGCCATAGGCATCCCTGTCCAAATCTCTTACCATCGATTACATGAAAATAACAAAGATATTATCAAAACGCACTAACACTGTACCTGGATTCAACTTCCATAGGGAGAACAAATCAATCAAAACACCATAGCACGACTCCTATTAGATCATCCATAGACACTAGCTCCATGGAGTTAAAACCCTAGATTCCGATACCGAATCCATGGGTAAGACTACCACACTAAACCCTAGCTACTCTAAATTTTCAAACTTTTAGCATAAAGGAACAAAGATATAGACTAGAGATGCGAAATTAGAACTGCATCGGCCAAAATTAACAGAAAATTTGGGGAAATTAGATAAGGAAACCTAGAGATCGCGATGATCTCGGAGTGAAGAAGAAAGAGCGATCGGATCGAGAGCACGTGGAGAAATCAGGAGATGAGACGATGAGTTACCGCTTGTGCTCGAGAGTGGAGAGAGGCTGGCTCTTCTCCTTCATCTCCGCCTTCGGTTCCGCTCTTTCTCTGTTGCCGAGTCCAAAAATGGCGATCGATCGAGATCGCGCCTGCGATTTTTTTTTTTTTTTTTTCAACACGCGGAACGTTGAGATCTGATAGTTTTCAGTGATCAGTTTGAAGCGCAACTGCTTAGTTTTGAATGAAGCAGGTAAGAGACGGAGTATTTATACAGTATTTTGTAAGATAAGGACAGAGATTTGTTGTAGCGGATTACGCCCAATTAAATCTTTCGGCATCTATTCCTTTATACAAAATCAGAAAAGACATATTCATGCTACAGTAATTTCAACGGTAAAATAATTATCGTAGCAATCTCAAAAAATACGATATGCTGTAGCAATCCTGGGAGCTTATGATTGTTTTTTGAACAGTGACTCTATTAGTGTAGCACGCGCAAGCACCGTAGCACTTTTCAAAATGCGAGATACGATAGCAATTCAAAAACTTACTGTAACATTTAAGAAACATAATTACTGTAGCATAAAAAAATTTATCATCGTGTTTTGCACGGACCGCAAACTAGTAGTTAAAGAATACTCCCAACTCACAGGCTCAGATGGTCTAGAAATTTAAATTTATGTGGGTACTCTCAAAGAGAGTTAACTCTGATAGCATAGATTGATGACTATTTATTTTTTAAGTTTATTATAGGGATAGATTTAATATTGCAAAGCAAAACAATGATCTGTTCATGTTACTAATACTCCTCATCCAACTAATTAAATAACCAAAGTATAACGTGTTACATACCAAAACATCTATTCACATCAACAGTGCACACACCAAAGGAATGCTATGCAAGGTGGCACATTGATGATAAAACATGAAATTCATGTTTGTTTATTTTTTTTGTTCTTTTTGGGGTAGGCTATGGGGCTAAAAATGAGTCAAGAATTAAAGGATCTGTCTAAAGTGTGTCCTTAAAAATCTGATTGTTTATTGTTTTCTTTTCTTTTCTTTCTTGAATATTTAGTCTTGGTTCTTCGATATTAGTTAGTCCCCCCAAATCTTTGATATTTGACATTAGTCCCTGAAACCATTGAATTTTGAAATTAGTCCCCCAGATCTCGCGGTTTTTTTTGAAACTAGTTTTTATGCACGTGCATTACACGTGATTAAATATTATAATTATTTGTTTTTTGTTTATTTCCTTACTAAAAGTTGTTTTTTGATTTCGATTTAATAGTTTTTGCTCGCTTATGTCTCTAAAGTTTAATATTGTGATTATTTATCTTCTTTAATGTTTGTTTGAATATGCTACACCCAATTTTAAGTTTCATGTTGACAATTGAATTGACATTAAACCAATTTGATATTCATGTTATTTGGATTGACATGAAATGAATCTTTACCTAAGGAAGTATAGTGTTGCAAAAGTAAAAAATACTTGAAAAAATAGCATTATAACAGCAATAGGAATAATTAAAGTCAATAAGCTTAGACAATTGATTAGAAGTGGATAAAATAGCACAAAAGAAAATATGGATTTTATTCCTAGTATTTAATAGACTTCATTAAAAACCATAAACTAAATATTAATGCTAACTCTAGTATAATTTAATATTATAAAAGAGTCCACAAAATAAGCATATAAAAATATTTAAAAACTCGTGAATATCTCTTTCAAATATTCCTAATTTTACTCAAAAAATTAGGCTCTTCTATAAAACATTAAGAAAATGTTGTCTTTTATTCTTTCTGTTTCGTTCTTTATTGAATCAAGATCAAGCCTTCTTCATTTTTATCTCTTTCTAAGGTAATTCTGGAGTGGTGTCTTCATCATCTACGTTGATTGTAACATCATGCTGGATCTGGACTTCTCGTGCTATTGTCTTTCCTTGGACTCATTCATTTTTTATCTTTCCATCTAACTTTATAAGTAATTTGAATGAGAAAAAATGTTAAATTTATATATATAACAATTTTTCTGTGTTTCTAATTCATTACTTAAGTTAGGATCATCTTTAATTATCTCTCTTGATCGTGTGTTTGTTGGCTTTGTTACATATATATAGTGAAGTCATCTTAATAGTCTTTACTTTTTTCTGAATGAAAGCAAGTTCCAAACATCTTATGGTTGAATTTATCTCTCATGTTATGTTAGCCTGTATCTACAAGTTTATCCTTGCATTCTCGCTTTTTTGGTAGCCTCCATCATGTGTAAACTATTTTTTAATCGTGTTGCATTATAATATATAAAAACACCGTTGATCTTTATTGGTTATTTGAACCATACTAAAATAATTACTTGATATATTCTCATAAAAGTAATTAAAATAATGGTTAAAAATTAAGACCTAATTAAAAACCAAACCTTTAATTTTACTAAACATGAATTCAACCCATTGTTAAGTAGATAATTTGGGCGGTTTGGTCCCAGCCCGAAACACGTTAGGCTGGGCTTCCAAGTAAGATTTGGGCATCTCCGAAACCCAAAATCAAAGAGCCAAGACTGGCCTGGAAAAAGACCAGGCCCTAGAGGTCGAGCTTCCAGTCTAGGTTTGGGCAAATCCCAATAAAGTCTTGCTAAATAAACCTGGGCCGTGACCATGTCTAACTTAAAGTAGTATAAGATAGAATTTAATAAGCATACATTGTATTGTATTTGTAATTTTTAAATAGGTCTGGAAAACATATACCATAAATCCCCTTAAAATCCTTTATCTTTGCCCGTGTTTTTTGACAACCCAAAAATTTTACATGATGGACAGTGTTCAACTACTCACATCCGCGTAAACAAACAAAGAATAAGGTCTACAAATTTTTGATCTAATAGGATTTTGTTGTGGGGCTCACTTTTAGGCAAAATCCATTAGAATCCTTGTGGAATCAAAGTAACCAAGTAACCCCTTAGGAAAGAAACTATTTTACTTATTGAAAAAATCTATAATCAAAACTAATGTGATTACAGTTTGTAGTTGTTTTAAGGGTAAATTTACAAAAAAAACATAAGTTTGGGCATTTCTCTGATAACCCTCATCATCTTTAAAATTTCACAAAATCCTCATTTAGTTTTGAGTTTCTCAGTAAACCCACTTTAAGTTTCAACGTTTAAAAAAAAAACCCTAAAAGTATGAGCCATAATTTTTGGTAAAACTGTGAACCAAATGTTTTACTCAAAGATTTTACTCAAAGATTTTACTCAAATATTTTACTCCTGAAAAAATAATCCTCATCTATCAAATACCTAACTATAGAACCAAATATTTTACTCAAAGAGAAAGGCTATTGTGAATATGTTAAAAAACTTTTGGTAAAACTGTGATTAACATAAATACGTAGGGTTTTTTTTACAAAATTTAGCTAGTGAGAGTCAATGGATGCCTTTTAGTTTTGAGGTTGTTTTGTTAAAAAATTTAAAAGATTCAAACATTATTATTTTTCTGTTTCAATGAGAATTAAAGTTAATCTCACAGAAAACATTTATTTTTCAAATTTATTAAATGATGTTAGAAACATCTGATGTGAATAATTGTTTTTAAATTCTCATGTTTTTTCTATAAATCTTCGATTTTGAGGGTTTTTTGTTATTTTTTAAAACTTTAGGTTGCTTTATGCAAATTACAAACCTATTTACGAGTCAGTGTATTATTATTTAGGGTTTGAAATTCTCATGTTTTTTGGGAATTTTTAATATTTAAGGTGTTGTTTACAATTTTTAATTTTTTTAGATTGCTTTATGCAAATTACAAACTACTTATGGGTCTTTTCTGATCAAATTGATTTATACTACTAATTAATGCCTTCATTTCCTAGCATAGTTCTCATTGCAGAGGTACATTAGACTCTTTAGGAATCAGCACTTGTTTGTTTATAGTTTATGATGTGTGTAGTTTTAAGCTTAATAATTCTGTAAAGAATTTCCTACTATCATTTTGACATATTAATTAAGTTAAGAAGTGGACGCAAGTAGTAAATATGAAAATCATTGATGAAGGAAAAGAAGAAAAGAAAATTTGCCCTTGTTCATAAGTATTAATGTCCTTGTATTTATTACTTTAAAACCACAGAATGTTAGATTGATTGAAATTGTTAAACAAAATAAACCGTCATAGAAAATAAATTATTAAAGTCCTAATCTTGATTCGAATAGAGGGTGCACAGACATCAATCAATCACTAATAAAAGAAAAAGGAAATTTTATTAATCTTTGAAGAACCTTTCTATTTACAACGGGGAAATAAATTTAAGCAATGAAGATGACAACAACAACAAGAAAAAGAAAATAGAAATTATTATAAAAAATTAAAAAAGAAAAATAATGTAAGATAATAAAGAGACATACTTGTTGAAGAAGACTAAAATACTATCGAAATTGTGTAGTTCTTGATTTATACATATATGTAAGCATGAGATGTTACATGTGAGAGGATAATAATTATAAATAGAATTCTATTTGGATAAAAATTATGTAATTTTCTTGATGTTTGAAATATTGTTTCTTTTAAAATTTCATTTGAAAATTAAAACCTACGTGTGAAAAATTATTATACATGTGCATTGATTAATAAAACCACCGTACGCAAGTTACTCTTACCAATTTCAAAGTTGGTCATTTGAAGTTAATAATATTTGATGATAGGATAATTAAGATTATTTAATTTGTTGATGTGAGCAATTATATACATACATGTTGAAGAAGACACTAACAAAAGAGAATAATCAAATACACAATATTACTAAAAATAATCATAAAGATAAAAAGGAACATACATGTTGAAGGAGACGAAGTTACTATGAAAATTGTGTAATTTTTTGGTTCATATATAGGCATGAGATGTTGCATGTGTGATAGGATAACAATTACAATTAGAGTTCTCTTTGTGTAAAGATTACAAATTGTATAATATTTTATTATAATAACTATTAAAACAATTCTTATCAACAATTTCATATGCGTAAAGTCTATGCCTCATACGAATTAGGATT